CAGGAAAAGTGGCACCTGGGAACTGTACAGCGTGACAGCCATGTCTCCCAAGACCAGACGCATGATCTTTGTCTAGTAGGCAACTGTTGCAAAGGAAAAATGATGAGGACCTAACCGGTGGTGGAAAAAACAGATTCGAGATTGTCACGATTGGTGGTGGACTGGGTGTGGAGCTAGAAAGGTGGGAGCTGAGTCTGTCCTGAAGTGTCTAGCCTAGACCCTCAGGAGATTAGGGGGATTCGGAACACAAAGGAGAAGACTGTTTGGCAAGGAAAGGAAAGGTCACCGCATGCCACTTCCCCTCCTCCCTGCCTGACCTGGGTTAGGAGGTAGATTACCCAAGGGTACCACCTGGACATGTGCTTTGGTTTTTTTATTTTTCCCCTTGAAGTCAAGCTCAGGAAAGGAATCGGGATCATTCAAATGTCTATCCTTGCAGTGATATCTGACCAACCTTCCCTATTTCTAGGGCTGACCAACTAGAATGTGGCCATTTAAAACAGGTCGAATGTGTCCCTGCTGCTTATAGAGGACACTTCTTTCCTGCTCCCTCACCCTGAGCAGAAGCTGCCCACCAGTCAGTGATCTGGCGCCCTCACCCAATCCAAGCACTTGGTACTAAAGTTGTGTTGTTTTGCATTTGGACCCTGTGCAGTATGAGCCATGGCTGTCACATTCCTGACCAGGGTAATCCCAGCCTTCCTCTCCCTGTCTGCCCCTTCTCTTCCTCCAACACCGCCACCTGCCCGGACCCTCTTCCCATCTCAGTGCCCCTCTCACACACTGCCCTGGATTCCTAACTTAGGTAGGCAAACGGGCTTCAGGTCCATGGAAAACTTCCTGTTGGAGATCAGAACATTGAAAATATCATATCCATCAGGAAAATCCAGGAGCACGCACCTCAGCCTCCACCTGTGGCAACCATTCAGAGTAGCTTGCAAGGTATTATCCACAACACATTCCTTCATTCCAGGACAACAGCTCCCTGTATTCACTTGTGGCTATGGCCTGACCTTCAACTATAGTTATTTGGATTCTTATGTACAATTTATACTCAAACATGGGTGTGTATGTGTGTGTGCACACACATACACACGGACATTTTTTGGTGTTTTAAATAAGAAAGTCAAGAGATAAGAAAATAACCTGTCAGGAATTTGTCTTTCAGAATACAACAAGGCAACTTCCAGAGATCAGTAAGTGGGTAGCACAGGTACGCACACGTTCTTGTGCCTTCTGGAAGTGTGAGACTGAGTTAGTGATAGAGGTGCCAACAGTGAGGACCCCAGCCCTTCAACCAGTGTTGACCCAGAAGCCTCTAGGGACCAGTGATCTGCGAGGTGCAGTAGAGGGCTCAGAAGTGAGGCAGGCGTGTCTTTGCTTCCCAGCAACATGCAGCCCTTTGGAGAGTTCCGCACACAGGAAAAAGTAATGGTGACATGAAGCCAAGCACGAGTGGACAGATGGAAGACGTGGCATTGCTCTCTGTTCTTCTACTTGGCTTTAGCACACAGCCGTTGGCCCTTACTAAGTGACTCACCAATTCACCTGCTTGTTCACCCTGGTTTTGCTGGTTTCAGGACAATGGAAATCTCATAATTAGGACATTTATAGAATATCCCTTCCTGAGACTTTTATAGGAACAGGATCAAGAATTCTATAAACCTGTCCATCCCAGGCACCCCTTTAAATCATTTTCTGAAGGTCATAGCTAGCTAACTAGAGTTGCGTGCACAGGAACCTGAATGATCTGGTTATTTATCCTTAGCTTGGGATACAGTTCATAGAGCAGCAGGAACTACATGATTTTAATCCCTTTCAGCCCTACATCTGTTAATTTTATGAAAATGCTGTCTTAACAAAATGTCTCCACTATTTGTTCTAGAATTTGTATACACATTTCTCCCTGTGCATTTATAGTAGCATTTCCTGGATAGTGTTGTATAGAACACTACTGTGAGACATTCAGCTTTTTTATGGGAAAAGTAGTGTTTCTGCGATCAGTGTGTTTAGAAGGTTTGAGTTAAGCAAAATTAGCTAAACTGTTCACAGCAGGACTTCTCTCAACTTTTAATGTACCAGTGCTTGCTATGAATTTAGAAAAGGTAAATACAATATACAATGATTCCTAACCTGATTTCTCATCTTACTTAACATGAACTCTTATTTTCATGAAATTTCTAGTATATTTGGGAAGCTGATGTCCTGAGGAATGCACATTGAGAAATAATGTCCTAGGAGGTTTTCACTGTATATAAACTCTAGTGTTTAGCTGTTTTCCATGTTTTTTTTTTGAAAATACCTTTAAATAGCAGCAAGTTAGTCTTAAGTTTAGATAAAAAGAGAAGAGTTTCCTGTCAGGATACTTGGAGGGTAGAACCCTAGAGTGTCCCAGAAAATTGCACATGACAATCCCTTTCTTGTCCTTCGGCAAGATCTCCCATGTGCACTGTAAACAGAATGAAGTTCCTGGATCTTTTTATCATAAGATGCTTTTGAAAATGGGAAATCGGATTTAAGCAAGGGATAAGAAGATAGGAATTAAAAGGCAGGAAGGCAAAGTGTCTAACTTCTGGAGAGATTATCTCTAAGTGTCTGCAGTTAGCTCATTCATTCCTATTCTGACCAGAATGTGCATTTGAAGAACCTAACTTAGTTTTCCACACCATGTGGAACTAAAGGAGAGAGCTAGATACCTCATGAAAGTGTTTCAGTATCTATCAGACATTGAGCACTTGTTATACACCACATGCGATGCTAAATCTTTGCATAAATTTTTATCATTCCTTGAAACAACCTAAGAGTTTGCTTGTATTATTGCTCTTATTTTACACAGTATGATTCTGAAGCCCAGAAATGCTAAAGGCCATATTTAAAGTCATATATCCCAGTTAACTATGAACCTGGATTTAACACAAAAGCCCTTATCTATTCTATCCCCTCCCCCACTGTCACTGTAAGTCTGTAGATATCCAAGACATCATGCTTCCTTGAAATGAGCCCCCACCCATCTGTGTGGAGAGTGTAGTGGTGGGGCCATATGTCTGCCCACATTGATAGGAAGCCAGGGGAAGAAGACATTCTCCAGCCTTCACTGGCCGGTGAGGTCCATGGTTTCCCAACAGCAGCATGGCTCTGTGTCTTGCATCTCACTCTTGCCAAATGCATCTCTTCTTAATAGCCATTTGTCCCCTTGTACCTGCTGATAGCCCACAGTGCATGGGCAGCTGCCCTGCGAAGAGAACAGAGCATTAGGGTCAGCCTATGGATCAATACATTCTCTGGCTCATCCATTTCCCACTACTGGGAGTTGATGGGATCCAAAACATACTTAATCCCTGTCCAGTTCACTCTGTCAAGGAGTTGATGGCTCCAGAGGAGTCTTTGCTGCTCCAGTCCACAAGTGGAAGCTAGTGAGTTTGGGCGCTGGGCAGGTGGGCCGAGGCTGTAGCCTGGGTCTTGGCATGGGTTGTAGATGGTAAGGAAGGAACTGTGGGCTGCAGGAGCTGTGTCTTCAGGAATGGAGACCACCTGAAGGAGAGCTGTGTTTCCACCTGGCCAGAAAGTAAGTCCAAGGGACTTGCCATCTGTCACGCCAGGCTGAGTGGCTGCTGGGTTAGTCCCAGAGCCTGTAACCACTCTGTGTACTTGGCATGCAGAACTGTGTGTAAGCATGTAGAATGCATGTGTGATGAATGGCACTTCTGTCTGAGAAGATGGCCTGGCCCACATTTGAAGGCATTTTTCCAGGAGTGGAGATCAGCAAGCTGCACAATCCATGCACACCCTCTCGCCTGGTTTCCCTGTTTCAGACCAAGGAAGACCATAGAGGTGCCAGGCTCTCACCTCATAGAACTTGGCTTCTCTCAGTAACACTTGCTGGCCTGCAGGCTGACACATGGCCAGGTGATTGGCTGAGGACCGTGGTTGCCTGGAGAATGCTCTTAAACTTTTAGATGTCATTGTCCCTTATGGGGCCTCTCTGATTGCCTCATTCACTGCTCTGCTATCTGAAGTGGTAATGACTTGCTGCCTTAACTATTTTGTCTAGTAGCCTTGAGAGCACCAAGTACATCTCTTATTCATGTTCTGTGTGCCTAAAACAGTGCCAGACACATGAGAAACAAATGTGTGCCAAATGAACAAAAAAATAATGACAACTGAAGGCATAACCCTGCCCACAGTTTTGCAGGTTGAAATTCTTAAAAAATGAACTTGTTTGACATTCTACTAATACTTTCCTTGTGTCCATCACCTATAGGGCAAAATGCAAGCCCCTAGCCTGGCATCCAGGCACTTAGACTTTGGCCCTGAAAACCCTTCCAGCTTCATATTTTAGCATTTCTCCCTTAGGCCCTGGGCATCCTGTGTGCTCAGCCAGGGGCTCCCGCACACTGCCATGCATAAGATGAATGCTGCTAAAAGGCGGCCACCTGGACTTTTGCTCAGGCCATGCAGATTCAGCTCTGGTAGGTGGGGAGCAGTCACTTTTTAAAAAGATGCTCAGGTGATTCTGATGGTAGAATCACACTTTGAGGAGCTATGCTTTTACCAAATGCACCCTGGGCACCTCACTGAAATGACCCCACGCATTCTCACCTCTATTCTTTTGACTACAGGGTGACTTGTGGCAGAAGAACCTAGAACAAGTCACATTTTCTATCTGGAGAGGCCTATACATCCTGCAGGCCTCAGCTCCAATCATGTTTTCTGTTACTATGGTCCTGCCTATACTATAGATATGTATCCAGGTTTCCGTATCTAGTACAATCTATGTATACCTTGCTTAGAGATTATTCTATTTATTTCTGTTTATCTTGTGAACTCTGACACTGTAAGCTCCAGAAGAACCGCTCTTGGTAATCCCCAGACCCTTAGCCAGCAGCAGAGCGCCTGGTGCCTATTGGGCTACAGCAAGGTATCTGGAGGTGCTCCATCGCTACCCATCCATCCCTCCCGTCCTAACTTTGTTCTCTGTTCTGACCACTGGGTCTTTGCAGGAGTTCTCACTCCAGAGAATGGACAGCCTTGTGGATGACCGTGTCAACATCCTAGGATTTTCCATTTTCAACCAATCCCATGCTTTTTTCCAAGAGTTTGCCCAGAGCCTCAACCAGTCCTGGCAAGAGAACTGTGACCACGTGCCCTTCACTGGGCCTGCGGTAAGTGTCCTCAGAGCTCCTGCCTCGTGTCCTGGGGATCCACACACCCTACCATGGACTGACTGCTGGACAGCAGGCCCTCCTGGAGTCCAGCCTTCTCCCTTCTCCAGTCTCAGCTCCCAGTGTAGATGTGTTGGGAAGTGAGCACGGAGTGAGATTCAGGGAGTAGTGAGCTCGGAGCACCATGGGTGAGAAGGCAGAGGAATAGGGTCATGGGGAGGTTCTGCACTGTCATTTACTGTTCTCTCCAAGTCTCCTGGGGTCAGACTCTCCATGATGCTGTTGCTGAAAGCTCCTGATCCAGTGCTTTTTTCACCTCCCTAAGCCACTGCTCTGAGTAGGGAGGCTTCTTTTGTGACTCCCCACCACCATGCTGCTGTGCATAGAAGACCTCTCCCTGGTTTTTCTTTATAGGGTTAGCCATTCTTATGTTGTTGGGCAGATCAAGTATTCCTGCTATATGCATTTCTTAAGTGGCAAGTTCCTGGGATCTCAGGATTGCATGTCTTTTTCAGCCTTGCCTAGGCAGGTTCCATGCCTTGTTTTATTTGAAAGGAAAGAAAAAAAAAAAGCAGCCCGTGTGCAGCTTATTATAGCTTTCTGAAACAAGTGCTATATGTCTGTATCTTCAGTTTTCATAAGGTAAAACTGAGGCTCGTAAAGGTTGAGCGGCCCAGGGTCACACAGCGAGACCCAGTCCTAGAACACAGGCTTTCTTGTACGGCCTTATAATTTGCGCTTTTAATCACTATGCCATTTTATCCCTCTCTCGGACCACCATTTCATTCATTTTCCTGTCATTAGGCCCAGGAAAATGAAAGTACTTAGTAGATACTTGTTGAAGGAATGAATGAATCAGGTAGAATGAGCTAGAAAAACATGGGATGACTTAGCCTCAGAGATGGCAATGGAATCGGGTATCTTCCTGGAGAGGGACGTTCTCTGGTGGGCTTGTAAAACAGAAGCAATACCAAAGACAAAGTCATACCAGAGGCAAAGCCATACCACAGGCAAAGTCGTATCTAGAAATCTGCATACCTGAGTACCTAATTAGAAGTTGGCAACGTGGTCATCCAAGGTGGGCCTACTGAGGGCAAGGCGTGAAGATAGTGACCTTTTATAACCCTCTGGGTGTTTATGACTGCATAGCCTGGTGGAAATTTTAGGAAGGAATGGTGACCAAGGAGTTAGAGCTGTCAAAAAAAACTCAGGAAGCTTTGGTCCAGGAAAAGAGGGATTTGAGAGGAAGATTTATAGAGTGCATCCCAGCAAGCTCTTTTAGAGTTAAGAATTCATAGGGAAGATTTGGGGGCAAGAAAGTGGGTCATCTGGAAGAAGGGGGTTAAGGGACAGTGAGAGACATCTTTAAGCACAGTGTCCTGTACAAGACCCTATTCCACCAGTAGAGTATGAGGTTTTGGTGACAGTCACTCCGGCACTCTAATGAGGCACTGCTGAAGTTGGAAGGCTCACAGCACTGTGTCAAGAAAGGGAAAGAAATGCCTCTTTCTCTCCAGCTCAAAACTTAGCACATTTGGCATTTGGCCTAGTAAAAGTAAAGGTTTCCATGTTATATGTCCAGGTTCTCTCTGAGGGTATCAGCCTTGCCATTAATGCTCACACTGGCCACGAGCAGGCAGACAAGAGTCAGTAGTGTCATCCTTTGTAAGGACCCAACACAGAGGCCGGGCAGAGCCTCTCACAGAATTGCAGGGCCAGCTCTGGCTGAGGTCACACACATGCTCCAAAGACCACTGGACTCAAACATCAGCTTCACCATTTTCTTGCTATGTGATCTTAAGTAGTTATGTACCCCCTCTATGCCCTGTACCCTTTAGCTATAGTATTAGGCTAATTATGCTAGACTATCTTAGAAGATCATTGAATTAGTTTCTCTAACAGTCTATATGCTGGGATAGGCCTCAGTGAATATATCAGATAGTTTTGCTATATCAATTCTGTGTAACAACCAACCACAAAAGTTCACAAGCAACCAACAACGCCCATTTAGATGACTTGTGCATCTGAGGGTCCATGGACATCAGTTCATTTAAGCTGGACAGTATAGCAGTTCTGCTGACCCAGCCAGGGTCATGCCACAAATCTTCGTTAGCTGATGCAGACTGGGCCTGTTGTGGTAGCTTTGTTCTATGTGTCTGACCATGACCTAGCCCTGTCAACTAGGGTCCACCTCCTAAGTTTCTATCGCATTGGACAGTGACTACGGTCCTTCTTCACCTCACAGACTGAATAATGGGTCCCATGTATGAGCTGGCTCTGCACTAGGGATTCAGGCTCTTCACCATGTGACTCTGTAGTCCTTTTGCCCTGTGACTGGGTAGAGTGGGTACATTTCCTCCCTTCTCTGGATTTGTATGCCTTTTTATTTTTCTTTTGCCAAACAAAAGGAAGTGGAATAAGCCATACTATGGCTATTCTGAGGATTTGGGTCTCAGAAGTTATGGTTTAGATCTGAAATGACCCCCAAAGGTCTTGCGTGTTCCGAGTAGGGACTTCTGGAAGGGACTGGATCATGGGCCTTCCACCTTCATCAGTTGATGAATCCATCGATGAGATTATAATTTGATGGCATTGTTGGAAGGTGATAGAAACTTAGCAGAACTGCAGAGGGAAAGCTCTCACCTTAGGATCAGGCCTTGCAGAGGAGGGGAAAGAAATGTAGCCATGAGCCACATAATGATATTTTGATGACCCACAGACCACACCCTCAGCAATGGTCCCTTAAGATCACACTGCCTAGTAACTTCCTACCTGTCTTAGTTTGTGTGAGGGCACACTGTGATACTCACACAATGGCAAAATTGACTAATGACACACTTCTCAGAACGTGTCCATAGGACATTAAGAGATGCATGGCTGTAACTTGCTGCTCATTTTCTGTCTGTAAAACCCTAGCAGTGTACACAGCCTCCCGGGAAGAGCAGGGCTCTGGACTGCCTCGCTCCACCAACCTGGAGAGGCTCTCCTGTCCCTGGAGCTGCCTGGAGCAGTTTAAAAATAGAAAGTTTAACCTCCCCTGTCACCCTCCCAGTTCAGGTCCTTTCTAGGACTTCCTAAAACCTCAGCTTCTCAGAACCCCCAAGGATCTCGGGGTGGGCTTTGAGCATCCAGAAGTGTCCTGTGAAGGTTCCCTCTGTGCCCAGTGTTACCATTACCGAGCCTCAGATCTAAAACCGGTCTCTGACTGTGGCCAAAGCCTCTGGTCCTACTTCAGCTGGCTCTTGTGGCCAAGCTCCTTTATTTTATTTATGCTTTTTACTTCTGAAATGCACGTATGTCATTTCTTGCCCTGGAGACAGAGCTGCTGCTGGTATGTCCCCCCAGGACTGAGGACCACTGTAGCATTGCCCATGAAATTTCCCTGCCCTGCCCTTTTATTTTCTCATTATATTATCATAACAATTAGATGCAGTCCTGCAGGCCTTTTTGACGAATGAGGAAACAAGTATAGAAGAGCTAGGTGGCACTTTAGGCTCCCCCAAGATCCTCACTTTGTCCCGTCTTGTGTAAAACTTGAGTCTACCCCTTGCTGCAGGGAACTTCCCGCCATCACCTCTGTGATGGTCTCTGAGGGGCAAGGGGAAGTATTATCACCACTGTCACCTCTAAGAGCTAGAAGGGAACCTCACAGCAGTGACAATAGCAGCATGTCTCTCCCAAGGCTTCTCACCTTTTGAAAACTTGCCTTTACCTGTTTTTCTGGGGACTGAGAAACTCCTGGCTCAGATCTCTCAGCTCTTTCATGACCATGATGGTGAGCTGGAAGTTGAGAGAGTCCATTCCAGGAAAATCCAGCCTAGTTTCACTCCCAATGGAGCTTTGTAAAAACTCTAAACACAGCTTCTGCTTCAGTGAGGACAATCTCTTTCCTTCTCCTTCTTCCCTTTCTTTGTCCTTTGCTTCTGTTCCCTTTTCTCCATCTCGAGCTCGTTCCCTTGTTTTTTCTCCCACATCCACCCTTTGCTCTTCTCTCTTCCCCTTTCCCTCTCCACCTGACCTCCTTTCTGTTTCTCTCCCCACCCCTCCACTTCCCGCCCTTTCTCCATGCCTGGCATTTCTCCTCTTGGCTTCTTCTCCACCTCCCTAGGATTCCAGGTGGAGCTGTCCGGACAGGGAGCCAGTTCTGAGGGCAGAAAAAGAGTGTGTATGGGAAGCTAAGCAGGAGGAAAGTTCAGTGCACCCAAGCAGGCAGGACTTGCCAGGTGGCCAGCAGCGGGCTGCAGATGCTCTGCCTGCCCAAGACATTGCAAGCAGAGGAGGGAGCGTTGTGAACAGGGACTGTCACCCACCAGTTTCATGTCATTCCCATTAATCACACTGCAAAGAATGAAAATCCTGAGAAACCATTAAAATTACAGATGGCTAGATTAAGTAATTAGAATTTAGGGTAAAGCAGATGTTTGTAATTAAGTGTTTATTTCATTGAATAAAATCCAGATTGTAAAAACTATTCCAAGAGATTTCTATGGTTCTGCTCCAGTATTATGTCAAGGGGCAGAGTTTATGCTTATAGAAATTCAGCAACAAATGTGCATCCGAGAGGATCCTGGGAACCCAGTCACAGGGGTTTGGGGAAGAGACAGTGGTTACAGGTGTGTGTCTAGAAGATATTGTTATTTTCACTTTATGGGAGGGGGAAGGAATTCAGCCACAACTCCTTGAGCCAGAATTGATTCATCTTAATTTATACTGAGTCTTTCATTCTCCGACACAATTTGCAAACAGCTCAAAAGAAAATAACAATGAGGAACCAAATGAAAATATAAAAACAAGAGAATCGAGAGTTCCTTGCCAAACAACATTTTGGTGCCAAGAGAGAGGAGAGGATTTTAAATGAGGATTGAGTCAGTTGGGGGATTTAATATTGAGAAGAGACAGGGACAGGGGGAGCAGAGACAACACCGAGAGGCACATGCACGCAGATGGGGCACAGAAGTCTTGGAAAGACGAGGGAGAGCTGGGAGAGGAAAAGGAAGTGGAAGGGAAGGCAGGCAGGGGAAGGGGAGGGAAAGGAAGGGAAGAGCAAGGACTTCCTCCCGCTTCCTGAGTGGGCACAGAAGTGGAGATGGGGATGCAGGGCTTTTGAAACAGACACTGCTTTCCCCTAATTGCAGTCCCAAATGCGTTCCAGAGCTAAATTAGTAAATAATAGCAGAGGGAGAATGCAATTAGGAGAGCAAAGAGATGCTTCAGAATGGAGATCTGGAATGAGAGAGGCAACTGATGAGGAAGAGCGATTGCAGACTCCACATCCTGGGAGGTGAAACTGGGTGAGGGGAGGAGACTGGAGGAGCAAGGATGGGGGAAGAAACTGCTCAGAGAAGTAGGGTGAGGACCCAGGGTAGAGCCTGGGTGGATGAACAGCCAGGCGCCTGCAAGAGAGGTGGCCTGGTGATGGAGGGAGGACCCCAGTGAGATGCATGGTGGGTTCAGGATTTTCAGGCCTCATGAGGTGTCCGCTCCGATCTACCCAGGTTGGACTGGAGAAGACCTGTGGAGAACAGGGCTTCCTGGGGACATGTCACTCATGCCACGCAGATGGAGTGTGGCAGTAGGTGGAGATGAGATGGGAGCCGTGGCAGTTTCCTTCCACCTGCTCCCTGGCCCCAGTGTCCTCAGCTAGTAGTAATTATTAGAAGGCCCCAGAGTTTCTTGTGCTAAAGGACACTGAAACAGGCAGATGCTCATCTCTGAGCATCTGGATCGTTTGCTAATGAGACAAGAAAACCACATGCCAGACAGAGAAGAAACAGTGACTCCTACATGTCAGGATCAAATCAGGGGCTTGGCGGGAGGTTGAGAAATGGGGTGGTGAGGTTCCTCTGAAGTATGCGGTGGTGGCAATCTCTCAGAGACTCGCACACAGCCTCTAGGGGACCAGGTAGCCTTGAGAGAGTGTGGCCCAAGGGTCTCCAAACTTGATCAGCAGTTCTCTGGGAGCCAGGGGATCCCCAGGGCTTCCATGCCAGTTAGGGTGTGCTCAGCTTCCAGTGACAGAATTGCTAATTAAAATGTCTTATGCAGAAAAGGCAGTGTGATGGCAGAGCTAGATTGGAGACTCAGGTTCTTTCCGTCTCTGTCTGGTCCCTCTTACATCAGCTCCATGCTCAGACTAGAACCAGGAAGGTTGCCAGGGTTCTAAGCGTCATGTCTAGGCATAGAAATGTCCAGAGGAGGGAAAAATGCCGGACTGTCTTACAAGAAGCTCCCGAGAAGTGGATCCCTCACTCCAGATCTCAGTTCATGTCTCATTGATCAAAACTGAATCACTTGTCCTGAATCACATATTGGCAGGGAGTTGAGATGACATAGGCCACACAGGCTCATCTGGGACCAGGGGCCGGGTCAGCCTCCTGTGAAGCCCCTGGTAGTGTGGAGGAGAGGAGGACCCCTAACCTAACCCAAGTGGGAGGCAGAAGGGACAAGCGGGTGCTAAGCAAGCAACTTGGTGGCTGATGGTTCTTAACTGAGCTCATGTGAGGACAGACAACCCGGGAAGCCAGGAGGTGAACTTGGTGATGACTCAGAGCTAGGGCACTAGGGGAGCCTGCCCACCAGCCCTCCCCGAGCCCAGCCCTGGCTCAAGTGTCCCATGTGCCTTTACTGGTAAGAAGGTGACCATGTTAAAAGATTGGCCCAAGTTTTCCTGGGAGAACTCTGTCTTGTGGGCCTTTGGAATGGAGAGATTAACTGGGAGGCAAGGAAGAAAGGGGGATGGAAATTGGTTTACAGTGTCATTTAAATGGCCAAACGGAAGCATCTCAAAGCCATTAGCAATCAGGACATTTCCCGCTCAGGTAGGTGTTTGTCTGAACTGGAGAAGGAGAGTCTGCCATTCATGGTTTCTCTGTGCCCCTTGGGCAGGGAGATGTGAGAGACCATTAATAATGCAGCCACATGTGCTCAGGGGAAAACGAATTACATGCAAAGGACAAAGACAGTGCAAGTTTGTGGAGTGTAAGCATCAGGCGCCATGCAGCTGAGCCTCAAATCAAATAAAGCAGGAGCTAAGCAGCCAGGGGGAAGGGCAGTGGGTGGAGGAGAGTGCAGAAGGTGATGGATGAAATAGAGGAGTGTAGCTGCCAGTCCAGATCACAGGACCACAGAGACCACCACTGACCCTGGCCACAGAATTTGGGTGCCTTTACCTGCTCAGCCTTCAGGTCACAGGTAGATTCAAGACCGGGAGACACAGAGGAGGGTAGATCAAGCTGGGAAGGCAGGAGACTCATAGAGGTAGAGGAAACTCTGAGAGCTCCTGGGATGTGGCTCCAGAGAATGACTGTGGTACCTGCTGAGTGGCAGGGGCTGAATAAAAGTGGAAAGCAGGTGAAGAAATGGAAAGGTAAGAAAAAAGAAAAGGAGGTACAGAGTAAAAGAAGGAAAAAGGGATACACTTGCCCGGTGGTTTTGTGATGTAGATGAACTTGAACTGGAGCAGAGAAACTGTTGTGTCTCCTGCTCCTCTCTCCCATTCCAGGCAGGGGTGGGGCCTTTCTCATCTCTGGGCTTTAGTGCTACCATGTACTTCCTGCCTGCTCATCAAGTTAAACAAGGCAAATTAGACTGCACTCGTGCATCTAGGAACATCTAGGAAGAAGCAGAATCCTGGGTCTTCTAGAAGCAAGTGGCTTCCAGCTGCACTAGGAGGAAGTTGTTCAGGTTCCTGCCTTCTCCTGAGGTCAGCAGCTCACCCCGAGAGGCCAGCAATTGCTCAAAGTTACTCAGTCCACAGGGAAGGACAAGGAGCTGGACTTGGTGAGAGGTCTGCTTTCAGGCCTTTCCTCTGGGTTATACCGTCTCACTCTGCTATGTACACTCTGCCGGGGGACTTGAGAAAACCCTTCAGTCTCATGAGTTCCAAAGTCCAGCTAGATTATGAGAAGTCCTCACATGGGAGAGTGCCCTGCCAACACCCTGTTCTCAGAGATTCCTGGGAACAGTGGAAGTTGCTCTTTCCCTGGCAAAAAGGATAGAAAAAGGTACCCTTGAGATAAGTTGGAACCCAGGAGATTGTTTGGTGCTTCAATCCCCAGGAAGCTTCTGTGGCCATCATCTGCCTCAGAGAAGTACCTGGATGGCCAGCAGAGGTGCACTGAGTTCAGAGACAGAGTGGACAGGAGCAATTGAGAGTCGGCCTTATTTTTCTTCTGACTTGTTTTTTCTTTTCCTCCTCTGGGGTCTTCCTTTGTCTCCATCCTCTTCCTCCCTTTCTCTGCACTTTTTTGACTTCCTCTCTCCGCCCTCTTCTCCGCCTCCCCCAGCTGTCCTCAGCCCTGCTCTTTGATGCCGTCTATGCTGTGGTGACAGCAGTACAGGAGCTGAATCGGAGCCAGGAGATCGGTGTGAAGCCCCTGTCTTGTGGCTCAGCCCAGATCTGGCAGCACGGCACCAGCCTCATGAACTACCTGCGCATGGTGAGGAGCGCCCCTGAGGGTCTGTGGCTGGCCTGGCCTGACGGCTGGGATACTTGGTGCAGTAAGACAGAAGAGCCCCTCCCCTTCAGGCTTCTCCAGATAAAAAGTCATCTGGTGATCCCAGTTAAGTGGGTCATAGTTTCCTAATCCCTGCCACCCAAGGGGAATCCATGGCAGGTTTGTTCCAAAAGCAGTGTCCCTTGTACCTTAGACTACTAAGGATCCTAAATCCCAGGCTTGCAACCAGCCTCTGCTGAACTGTGATCCTAGCAGGTTCTACATACCTGGGGGAAAGGTCCATGCTGTTGGTGGCTGTGATCCTTTCAGGAGCTACAGGCTCCAGATTTCTAGCTTGGTGCTAAGTTTCCTCATAACTTCCCTGCCCAGCCATGAAGAAACATCTTTTGTCAGAGAAGCCTGATGCATAAGGTCTTGGATTTTGCACTTACAATCAGATACAGGGACATTCTGAACTCCTGCAGACCTGGTGGTGGGGGTAAGCCGCTGCCCAAAGAAAATAAATTCTGTTGACTGTCAAAGGCCTACATAAAGCACAGAGAGAAATCTGAGCTCTAGCCAGCATCATTATTTGTATTGGCCTATGCAGACAGTAGGAATTATGGGTAGAGGGGAGCCTACCTAGATGCTGATAGGGTGGTAGGCAGGAGAAGAGATCTTGGTGCTGTCCCCTCCCCAAGTACCACATGTGTGGCTTGCTTGCTCAGGACCAAGTGGATATAGGGCCTGGTGGTGCTGTAACTCACTCTCTCTTGGACAGGTAGAATTGGAAGGTCTCACCGGCCACATTGAATTCAACAGCAAAGGCCAGAGGTCCAACTATGCCTTGAAAATCTTACAGTTCACGAGGAATGGTTTCCGGCAGGTAAGCCGTGCTGTGCTATGACAAAGGACTCCTCCTCCTCCGAGTTCCTTTCTCTGTTCCTAACCCATTTCTTCCACTCTTCAGTACTCAGGATGATCTCCTGCTGTCAGCTGTCCTTGAGGTCCACAGGATGCATCCTAGGCAAGGCTATCAGCCTCCCTTCTTGCCCCCAGCTCAGCCAACATGGGCACTTCTAATCCCACCAAAACTAAAAAAGGAGCAGACAGACTCTGTGGGTGAGGGGGAAGACAAGGGTGTCATTTCAGGAGGGGTTCACAGCCCCTATTTATTCTCTGGATCATTCTGCTCCTTGAATCTCACCCTAATCCTGATGGCTCCAGGGAACTCCACTGAAAAGGCACAGTTGTCCTCCCTTCTCTGGCAAACCCATAGCCCCTACTCCCAGGGCAGTCACCTCCCCTGTCCGTCACCTGTCTGCTCCCATCATTTTAGGGAAGGTTTGTCCTTCACAGCTTTTTGGAGCTCCCTAGTCCTTTTGTCAGCCTCCTCCATTAGACTTTTTATCCCTCTTTTCTCAGAAGGAGCAAGGACTCTGACAGCCATTGAAAATACCACTCTCGGGGGCTGGGGATTTAGCTCAGTGGCATAAGCGCCTGCTTGCAAGCAGGCAGTCGTGAGTTCGATCCCTGGTACCGATAAAAAGAAAAAAGACAAAAAAAAAAAAAAAAAAAAAAAAAAGAAAGAAAATACCACTCTGAAGGTGTCTTGTCTTCTCCATGATCATAGTAATCCGTTTGCTTTATTCAGAGTCCTTCTCTGACCTCAGAAAGGGCTGGAAATAGGAAGCTTGGCACTAATTACAGCAGGAAACAGGCATACTGAAGATCATAGTGACTGAACAAGAGAATTTATCACTGGGGGATTTCTGAAATCCCTTCCAGCGGACAATGAAGAATCATCACCTTCATCTTCACCACCTGCCACCACCACTACCATCATCATCAACAACATCACCATGGCAACTCTCATTTATAAAGCACTTACCATGTTAGATGTAACATGCACTTCCTCATTTAACCCCTTCCCTCATTATAAATGAGGAAACTGAGGCTCAGGGAGACTGAGCACTTGGGCCATGAACAGCAGAGCTGGTTTTAGCTTTACATATATCCCTCCTCTAAAGTCCAAATTCTTTTTTTTTTTGTCTTTTTTTTTTTTTTTCATTTTTATTGGTACCAGGGATCGAACTCACGATCACCTGCTTGCAAGGCAGGTGCTTATGCCGCTGAGCTAAATCCCCAGCCCCTAAAGTCCAAATTCTTACGCATCATGGCAAATTGTACTTTAGGATCACCTAGATAATTTGTTTTTTGTTTGTTTGTTTGTTTAAGGAGAAAAAGGGGAAAAAAATCAGAAAAAGGGTACAAGTTATACGGAATTTCAGAAAAAAATAAACAGTAGGAAATCACTAGTTAATGGATTACGTATTGTCATCTTAGAAATATTTGTTCAAGTTACAAAATTAAAGCATATAAAGTGGACATTCAAACAGTGAGACTGCAAACAGTTCTGTTCAATGATCCAACAAAACTCAGTAATATCATTGTTTATCTTATACACTTAAATATACATGCAGTTATACCATTTAGAGCACTTTCTTTTCCTCTTTTTTGTATAATGACTATTACACATTTTGGGTTTTATTGCTCCCACAGTTCTTATTACTTTTTTTGGAAGAGAGTAAAACCAAATGTGACTTAATAGAACAGAGTTGGTTAAATCAAAAGGGTGGACATAATGTAAAAACATAATACAAGGTGATCAACAATGGTTACCATAATGCCTCCTGCTATCTCAAATAGAATTGCCTATATCATCAGTTACAATAAAATTGAACAAAACAGTAAAGAATGAAACCAACAAAACCAAAACATTGGAGACATTACAGGTCTTCAAAAGTAGATAATAGTCAACCAGTATGGGTGTCATAATGAATCCCACTATCTTCACAGCTGTTGCCTAAACTTTCAAACCTGGTACTATCAAGCAAAGCAGAATAGAGGAACATCAGTCAAAACAAGATGGTGAGAGCAATACAGGGCTTCAAATCAAGTTAATAGAAAATCAAAGTGGGTTACTATAATATATCCTGCTATTTTTTATTTATGTTTCCCTTAATTAAAAGGATAAAAATAAAAAAGTAAATAATAAAATGGAGATTGAGATAAAAGAGGGCATAACAACTAAACAGTGCAGATCAAAACATAACCATTTAAGCAAATTAGTGTTTCACCACAAGATAATTCTGACATAAACGTAGTTACCATATTGTCTCTTTCCTTGAAATCTTTGAGTATAACTTCATATACTATAGCATCAAATATATCAAAAAATGTAAAACCATTCAAGAGAATGACAGTATTACAGGGTATTTAGAATCAACTAACAGATAATGAACTATGGTTTCTGTATAATCTCCTTGTCTATAAAATTTTTTGTTTATACTATCACATATAATAAAATCCAATAAGATACAACATGTTAAGACCTATGGAGACAGAAGAACAAAAGCTTGATGGGACTTCAAAATAAGATGATACCAAATCAGCACTACCTATTATGACGTTGTTTTCTCCAAAATAGCTGTTCCTATCATCCAATCTTCTCTGCCTCATTTCTCTTGAGCTCTTTTTCTGTCATTAGTTGTCAGTTTGTCTTCTTCATTTTGTTTTCTGCTCCATTCATTGTGGCCTCTCTGCCACTATTTCTGGATTCTTCATATTTTTCTTTTTTAGAATATCCTGCAGTATTCTCTGTAGAGTTGAATTGGTAGTTGCATATTCCCCTAGTTCCTCTTTATCCTGAAAGCACCTTGTTTTTCCATCAATTTCCAGGGATAGTTGTGCAGGATATCTCAATCTTGGCTGGAGGTTATTATCTTTCAAAGCTTGAATTATTTCCCCCAACACTCTTCGTGATTTGATGGTTTGTGCCGAGAAGTCTGCTGTAATTCTGATGGGTGTTCCCTTGTAAGTGATCTGTTTCTTGTCTCTGACGGCTTTTCTGTTCTTATATTGGATTTCTGGTATTTTGATTATTATATGCCTAGGTGTAGTTCTGTTTGGGTTGTTGGTGGCTGGGGTCCTGTATGCTTCATACATCTGAGTATCTTTACCTTTTGCTAAATTAGGAAAATTCTCCTGGATTATTTCTGCAAATAGCTTTTGTAGTTCATTTGTTTGTGTCCCTACCTCTTCTTTTATGTTCTTAATTCTTAAGTTATAGATCCTCTTATCATCTTCTAGTCTTTGTATTGTTGCTGTTTGTTTCTTTGTTATTTTTAAGAAGTTTTTCATTTCATACTCCCATTTTACAAATCTGCCCTCCAATTCAGATAATCTATCCTTAGTTTCTTTCAAGCTGTTATGCCAGTTTTCGACAGAGTTTTTAGTTTCCTGGTAATCTCTTTGAACCTGCTTCACGTATTCTAAGTTTTCTCTATTTTCTCCATCAAACAATTCTCCCCTCTTTTTCTGTAATTCCATTCCACCATCTGCTTTTTCTTGGGTGGTGCTTAGCATTTCTCTAACTATTCTGCTTATTTCTAGCTTCAGGTCATTAATAACTTCATTCCTGAACTCATCTATGAGGCTCTGGAGATAGCCTTTTATGTCTATTGGTGCCCTGTCTGCTATTGCCTGTTTCTCAGGATTGGGGGCTGAGAAGCCTTTCTTGTTGCTCCCTCTTCCCATATTCTTTGTTTCTTATATATGCAGGCGTATATAGGAGGCCCAGCTTCCTTCCCTGTCGGCCACAGTCTGATTGAATTGCGCCGGCTAGGTGTTCCCGCCCATCACAGCGCACCAGGGAGTTACAGACCGGGCAGCCTATGCGGGGCCTGCCCTTCCAGGTCAGCCTACCTAAGGCTTCACCACTAGGGTACACCTCCAGGCGCTGGGACCTGGGTTGTGCTAGCCTACTGGGTCTCAGCCAGCAGCATCACATAGACTAGGCACTGCTCACCAATCCTCCTTGAGAGGGGGATATGTGATTGAAGTCACTACAGCGCCCTGTTCCGGCAAGTCTGCCTGGTCCCAGAATGTCCTCTGTTGGAGCCTCCTAGACCGTAGAAGAGTCCTAGTTTCCCTCACTCACCTCAGGTCGATGCACGGCTCCCCGCCCGTCCTGCCCTCAACTCCGTTCACTGATTCCCGTTCTCAGAGCTTTTGTATGTCTCTCTCCCTGCCAAGCCGATTCAGATGTAGCTGCGGCGGCAGGAAACCCAAATCTCGGCTTCCAATGGTGCGGGCTCCAGCTTCCACGATCAGGCTTTATCTGTTCCTGTTATAGCACCAGGATTGCATTCCCAGTTGGTATCTCTCAGCCCAGTTCATTCTTGGGTCAGCAGGGTATATCTCCTCTTGGTTAGGATTCCTCACTCCACACCATTCCTGGATTCTAAGCTGGGTCTCACAGAGAGCCTGCATAGTTGCTGCTATCTGTCCCCCATGTTCTCCCAGAACAATAATTTGTTAAAAATGCAGATTTTTGGACTCTATCCCATAAGGTTATGTTCAGTGAACCTAGGATAAGGCCCCAGAATGGCACTCAGGGTGGTTCTGATGAAACCCTACACCAGAGAGGCCCATCCCATCTATCTCCTACCACTGTGTCCCCAAATCCCATGATGGGACAATCCTCTCAGGTGTCTCATGAGCCCAGTAGTGTTGTGTGACTATGTTGGTGGAAAGACCACAGCACCCTTCCTGGAATGAAATAAGGTAAAAGAAAATGTAGATGACCCCCAGCCGTGAGAAGTTACTCTGTCATCATCTGCCCCCAGCTCTGTACGAAAGCTCTGTGATCGTTAAGCAGCATGGTAACTACCCTTTTTAATGTCTCCTCAAATTGGAGCCAGTCAGGTAGGCAGCCAGGAACTAGGGAGATGGATTACCACAAATTGGTCATTACATCTCCCAGGTCACTTACTGAGCATGTGGCATGCGTCAGGAACTGTGCTAGGGCTGGGGGCAGCACGG